TCACACCATGCAAAAGTAGATGCAATCTGAGCAATATATCAAATCCTCTGGCTGTGTCAGAATGATTCTCCAGGCTTGTTTTTAATTGAAAGGAAATCTGCTTTGTCCTGGGCCTCTTTAGTCCTGGCCTTCACCATTGTTTACACATACTTCTTACCTTGAACCAAAGTTCTATTATTATTTTTTATTTACATGAAGAGTAATGAATAGAATATGTCCTTTGTTTTATTTTTCCAGAAGTGACTTTAGGCAAGCCATTTTTCTCTGAGATTTCTGGTTCTTAGTTCCTCATTTGTAAAATGAAGATCTTTACAACACTTAACATTCTGCAGCTTTTTAAAGGATTATAAACTATTATGTTGAGTTACTGCATTGCTAAAAATTGCTAAAAATTAATTCCTGAGGGGAAAATAAAACAAACTATGTCCCAGTGTGTACTAGAGAAACCTCATTTATGGCCAGTGGTTTTCATCTGCAACATAGAACTGAAAGTGATCACCAGATTTTGATGCTGGACAGCACATCGTCCAGTTATGACAGACCAGGAGGCATCAGTGGAGTGGATTTGGAGACAGAAACCCCGGATTTGAATCCTGGCTCTGCCAGGGTAAGTCACTTAGCCTCTTTGGCCTCAGTTTCCTCCTCTGTAAAATGAAGGGGGCTTGGATTTGATGGTTCTCAAGTTCCCTTGTCACTTGACTAAAAATGAAACCAAGACCACTAGTAATCTTTTTAGAAGCACATTATAGCCATGGACTGGTGACAAAGAGCAGCAGACAAGTCAACCTCACATAGAATAATATGAAAAAAGATGGTAGAGTGTGGCCATGAGCAAAGGAGGCCCAGCTAACAGCAGCAACTACAGGCTGATACCCCAGAGCAGGTTTTATATATATGCTTCCTGGCCTCATCAATAGCATTCACCTACCATCATCTTCAGAGACAAACCACTGATTGTACAGTATGAAGAATGTCTGAGTAACACTGCTGTCGCCATCCAAATTATGTTTTCATTAGCATTTTGTGAGAAAATCTGAATAACAGCCATGTGTGTTAAACCCTTTTGAACTGTTGCCCACAAGAATGGTTTTCACCTCCATTATATAGGCATGAATAAAGTTATAGGTTAAGTTGGTAAAGTGTTTGTTCAGTGTAAAGCTACTGTACTAAGACTGAAGTATTTTTTTATCCATCATTTGGCAGATTGGTAAAAATGGATAAATTCTTGTTGTAGATTCTCTTTTCCAATAAGCTAAACATTTCCATTTTTCTGCATCCATATTTATTTTTCTGTGTTAATTAGTCTACAACGTTACTTATTGATTTTGGCCCATAGACTATGATGGCAGTGGCTTTAGTTGGGGTGGTGATGATGGTTTGGGGATGGGAGAATTTCTTGGTACAGTATTTTCCTCAGTAGTCTTTGTGTGTTTTTTTCTCTCGTCTTATGCTCTGAGTGTAATATTGACAAGAGACCTCTCAGTTTAATTTAGATCAGTTTGTGGTAGCCTTTGAATAGGAAATGCAATCACAAAGGATATGCCCCTTTGGAACCTTTAATCAACTAGGGTACTGGCCCACAGATTAAACCTAAAGTGTGTCCTGATTTTGGTTTATGCTGTGCTGAACTTTGGCCATAGTCTGTGGACTCCTTTAAAAGTAATCCTAGAACAAACCCACAAACACAAGATTCCAAGTAGTGAAGTTCAAACAGAACTTCATTTATTTGGTTGAATTAAATGAATTCAACAAATATTCATTAAATATCTACTAAATTATAAGGCCCTCTACTAGGTATAAGATTTTGAATTGTTTAAGGATGCAGTAGAGTTGTGAAAAGAAAGAACCAATTATGCTGGTATTATAAAAGCAAAATCGATTCTGTTTGATTTAGAGAAAATGGCAGGTAGGTTCCAGAAAAAAAAAATCTACTTTAAATTAATTCATACAGTGTGCTTAGAATTAAAGTCATGGAATAAGAGGAAAAGACCTCAGGTTGTCTTCTGGGACAGTCTTGTGACTTAATGCAGATAGTTGATTAAATCATCCAGCATAGATGATTGTCTATTTTTCTTTTTTGTTTCTTTGTTTGTTTTTTGGGGGAGGGTTTTAGGCAATTGGGGTTAAGTGACTTGCCCAGGGTCACACAGCTAGTAAGTGTCAAGTGTTTGGTCTGAGGCCGAATTTGAACTCGGGTCCTCCTGACTTCAGGGCCGGCACTCTATCCACTGCACCACCTAGCTGCCCCTTTGTCTATTTTTCTTAAAGATCTCTGGAAGTGAGACCCAGTTACTACTATCTGTAGTCTGTTTAAATAATGTATCATTCTGGTATCCAAAAAGTTTTATTTTCTAATATCCAAATAAAATTTTCCTGTCTTAATTTAAAACTCCACAAAAATTCTCTTATGCCTTATTATGGCAAGATTATGATGCTGGAATCCAAGCTCTGGCAGGTCCTAGTAAGGCAGAAAGGCCTTGAGGGGGACCCAGCAAGGGACTGTATTTCTTTTGTCTGGGGACTATTACAGATACATTTTGGGAGGCTCATCACCAGATAGTTGGCCACAGGGGTTGAATTTTTCTGCCACACCATCGCATTATGACCAAGTGATTTGTGTTGTTTAAGGGAGCTTTCATATCAATGAGATCACAGATCTTTGCATAAGTTTTTTTTTGCTTCATCCCTCTGATTATAAAAAAATTGCAAAATTATTACATTGCTTTTATTAATCTTTAATAGTTTGTAGCATTTATAAAAGGTAATTTTTATTTTGCATGTTAGAAAAAGGATCTTAAAACTTGTTTGCTTATCAAAATGATGAGCTTTAAAGGAATTTTCATTCGGCATTCAGTAATGGTTATTAGGAACCTATAGTGCAAAGCACTTCTAGGCACTAGGAAAGATACAAAGTTAAAATATAATACAAACTCTGCCCACATCAGTCCTAGCAGAGAAAATAAAAACATAGGTAACTACATTATATAATTATTACATGATAAATGCATTGGAGAGGAAAAACGAAGTGCCTTGTGATATCCAAGAGGAAGGTTTTTACTGATTTAGTGATCCACAAAGAAAGGATTTGTAGGAACTCAGCAGGCAGGGGTGGGGGAAGGAGGGCCTTCCAAGCAAAGGGAATGCTATAAAGATTTGGCTATGGAAATCTCAGTACATGTTCATGGGGCAGGTAGTAATTCAATTTGATTGCAGTGTAAGGTAAATGGAAGAGAATGATTTAAATCTGGGAAGGTATTGGAGGCCTGATTGTGGAGGACCTTGGATCTCAGATAAAGGAGCTAGAATTGAAGGTACATTAAGGAACCACAAAAGATTTTTGAGCTATGGAGTTTCGTGGCTTGATCTAGACTTAAGAATGCTTATTTGGCTAGGTTAGGGGGAGGTTCAAATCATAAATGGCATTTATGAAATACGTATTATTAACAGTTGTTTAGAAAATGAGATTGACCTGTTATGAAAGTTAAACATATTGAAGTTTAGCTATCTAAAAGCTTGTGCTGATACATTAACTTATAGTTTATTTCTGTCTAATGTATTCCATGATAATTGAAATTTAAAATGACACTAATACTTTATGTACACCTTGTATACTAGAAAAGCAATGTGGTTTAGTGATAAAACCACTGGCTTCAGAGTCAGAGAACCTGGATTTGAATTCTGACTGCTATTTAGCAGTTCTTGTCCTTAGGCAAGTACTTCTCTGGACTGAAGTTTCCTCCTCTATAAAATTAGGAATTGGACTAATAATCTCTGAGATGCCTTCTATCTGTAAATTCCATGAGATAGAAGATCATTTATTCAGCATGGTGTCAGCCTCCTACCTAATTGCTTATTCTCCTCTGCAAAGTTAAATTGAAATCTCTGAGTAAAAAACTGAGATGGCACTTCAATTTCAGGGTGGTGCTTTTTGGAACAGTGACAGAAAGTTTTCAAAATCTAGAGAAGCAACTTAAAATTTTTTTGTCATTGAAACACCTAACATACTACTTAGAATAAATATATCTTAAGCATTTAGTTGAATTAAAATCAAGTTTGGGAGCTGTTATGTCAAAGTTCTACAATACTTTAAGATAACTAGAGAAACCTTGCATTGTTTCTAAACCAAGGTTGAGAAATAATTCAGAGCATCAGTTATCAGTGTTCTATGGGGCCATGATAGAGGTTCTCTAAAAATATTTCTGATTCTGTGATTTTTCCTCTAAAATATTATATATTTGTATATCAGAAATATGTACATATTAATACCTATTATGTAGAGGACTTTTTAAGGTAGAATTATCTTTGACAGTCTTTTCATCTTCCTATCTATACCACATTCTCACGACCTAATGTCCTCTTCCCCATGACCCTGATACACTCAGGCTGCCCAAAGGCCTTCACTGCAGCTCTCTACTCAGGTCTTTCCTGCTCTTCAAAGTTTTGCATACTCCAAAATTATTTGCCTACCCCTGACCTCATCAAAAGTCCTATTACCTTCAGTGCAGCTGCTCATAGCACTATGTTAAGAAGAAAACAATCTCATTCAAACTATGTGTATCTTATAAAGTGTGAATGGATGATGGCTCAACCTTTCCAATGTATTTGCATTTTTAAAAGAGGATGCTTGTTAAAACAAGGACTCTTCCATTGGTAAAATTTCAGTCAGTGTAGCAGAATGAAATGAAAATTTCAGGTAGCTATTGGTGGAATATAGGTAACAGTGGGTAACACAGATAGGGCAGCCCAACCTGGAAGTCTGGGAGCTCCTCTAAATTGTTCCTAATTTTTACAGATTCTTCCCTTCTTCCTCTTCTAAAATAACTTATTTTCAGAAAGCTCCAAATTGTTTTCCCCCTAAAGGATTCTTATGGAAGTAGCAGCTAGTATAGGGGTGGCTGTCCCAGTGTATGGGCTATTTGTAAGTCAAGGATCACCTGCCTATAGTCTTTTACTGTCCCTTCAGGTCTACTCTGTAGATTAACATCCTGTTTTGCTTTCAGGTACAAGGCTGGAGTATGGCTTCTCCAACTGCCTGCATTTGGGCGAGAAAGAAATGCAAAAAACCAAGAGCAGGAGAATATGTTAGCAGCTGCTTGCTATGTTTAAATATGTTACAAGTCACTGACAAAAACATGGTGCCTGAACCTAAGCCTTTTGCTGAGCCAGCCAAGGCCGAGGTAAAACTGCAAGCCAGCGCACCAGTCCCTGTGATGATAGCAAAGGAAGAGGCCAGTCCCCTACGCCAAGATGTAGCCAACAGCACAGAAAGTCTGTCAAAGGAAATCAGCAAAATCTGCTTTCCAGCCCCTAATCAGGGGGAACGGAAGAGCCTGCAAGTAAAGGAGTTTGTTTGGCACTCAGAGAAGTGGTTTTCACCAGACAGTTTCAAGGATGTCAAAAGGCCAGAAAATGCTGGTGTCCACTCAGACAAAGATAGCACTGCTTTGGAGTCTCTGACTCCCAAGTCTCTTTTAGTTCTGCCTCCCCTCAAAGCATCTTCCAAAAATAACCTGGATGGCATTGTAAAGAAGAATAAAGGCATATTCACTCATTTGGAAGAGAAACTGCCCAGTTCAGATAAAGCTGAGAACGTTTCCTGTATTTATGGGAGCAAGACTTTTGACTACAAAGGAGAGAAGAGAATTGTTGAAACAATAAGGGGTTCTGTGGACAAGCATCTTAAGTTAAATGATGCACCTTCCCTTTCTCCACGGATTACAAGGACTTTATTTCCTGAGCATGAACGATGCTGTTTACACTGGTCCTTTCTGCCAGAAAAAGATTTGGCATCCAACCCTAATTCAGTTAATTCCAAAAAGTTTAGCCATCTCACTACATTGCGGCTTATGGAAAAACAGGGAATGCAGAATGGTAAAGTCAAAATCAGAAATGAGTTAAGACCTCCTGTTAATATCAGAAAGCAAAATTTCCTTGAGGCCAAGCGAGAAAGCCAGTCTAAAACTGTGGAGGCCAAGGTTTTTTCAGGTCCTATGTTGCCTTCTCTAACTGTGAACAGAGTTGTAATCACTATGTTGCCTCATAGACTCCTATAATGTTTTCATATTATAATCTCCTGGAAACAAATGCTTCTTGAAATTCTCTTTTTTTCCCACCCCCTACAGCCTGAGGTCTACTGTTTGTGTTTTATTCTTGTGCTTAGAAACAATGTGTATTTGTTACCTCCTGGAAATACTGCTTAGGTATATGCAAATTGTAAACTGATAATTCCAGGTTGGGAATTCTTCTGACTGCCCATGGCATGCCTAGTAGGAGTGAAATGGATAATATTTCAGGGTGAATCCAAAGGATTGTCTGTTTTTACTAGTGTTGGCTCAGATTGTCTTTGTAGGGCTATTTCCTTGTGTTTACCAGTGCCATAATTTGAGCTCACTGGAAGAGTTTAGACTAAACTCTTCTTCTAAACTCTTCTCTGCATAGAGATCTCTTTCATTAGCTAAATCTGAAACTCCCTACTTCTGTTTGTTCCGTGATGAATTAGAAGAGAGGTTTAAAGAAGAAATTGGAGTGCTTACTTCCTCTACTTTAAAAAAAAAGAGCTTTGTGATAATTGGGAGGGTGGGAAGGGAGTACATGCAAATGACTGGCAAATAGAGTCAGTATATTCTAAATGGGGATATACGTTATTAACTTGTAGCTCAGTTTTCATCTTCATCCATGTGTACTATTTTGTTATTTTCACCATTCCTGCAATTTGGAAGTTCAGTATATTTTGGTTAGAGACCATTTTTCCTCATGTTGTAAAAGGCAGAAAAAAAAAATGGAGGCTGGTATAATTGTAAATTAAGTTTCTTGCCTTACTTTTGAGTTGTCCTTACTGTATTATAAGATTTCAAACATCACTTTAATAGAAATTCCTGTCCTATAATAAAGCGAATAGATATATAGAATGCATCATTATCCATTGCAGTATCACATTCTTCCTTAGTATTCAAGAAGTTCTAACTACTTCTACAGAATTCAAATTGAGAAGAACATTTAACTTAACCACTTGTGGAAAAAGTCATTTTGAGAGCTTTCATAAATGCTTCCCCATTCCTTAGCCCCTTACAGTCCTGACTTTTAGGATTCCTTAACCCCAGACTGTATGAGCCTAACTAATTGGAAATTCGGGTCCTGCCTTTTCCCTTCTATGCTATTTCTTTTATAATACATACAGACCTATTGCACTTTATACAGTACACATGTTCCTGCAAATCAGTGATTGCATACTAAATTATGTTTTTTCATTGTACCAGGTGAGCTTTCCCCTTAGAATAATAGTGTGGTAAGTTATCTTGCGAAGTGAATAGTCAACCACTAACTCCTGTGGATTATAAATCTGTATTTTCTTATGTTATATTTGTTTAAGACAGGTTACACCTGTATTTTCTACCCTTCTCTGTTTCCATTAGCCATATGGAACCTGGTGCCAGAAAGAAGCCACACACTGTTGCCAGATGTAGTAGGAACACTGAGGTTACCTATTGCTGCTCAGTTAGTTACAAAATCTGTTTTGTAGACCCTCTGGCTATAAGAAACTAATAGGGCAATGAGTGTTATTTCTGGGGGAGCTGTTAAGAGTTATTGCTAATTATTTTTTTAATGCTTTTGCCAACTGCATCTTTTTCTATGTGGGGTAAGATTCTCATGTTCCATATTGACTAGGTGAGCTATCGCTTTTTTGAAGCAATCCTTTGCCTTCCCTTTGGAGTACATTTTGTAAGCTAGTGGTACAATGCACTCTGTTATAACTATAGAATCACTTTGTATTTAACATTAGTCTAAATGTGACCCTGATTGACTTAAAATATTGTAGAAATCTAGTATTGCTACTAATTTGATAACAATAGTAATTTTACATTTTATTGAATCTTTCAGAGAGGACTCCAAAGTGATCTGTAAACTTGAATTCCAGAATTATAGTTATTATATGATAGTTGCTTCTATTCTGATAAAGGAAATAGAATATTATTTGTCAAAATACAAATATTGGTTGTAGAAGAAAGGGCATTGCACTGACAGTCACAAGACCAGGCTAGTTTCCAGTTTTCTTCTGTTTACTAGCTGTTTCTTTTTAGACAAGTCAGTTGCCATGTCTAAAACCCAGTTGTCTCACCCACAAAATGGGGTTAGACTAGATACCTCTGAGTGTTTACTTAGTTCTAAAACACTGTGATCTAAATTACAATAATTTATCTTTTTTTTAATTTGGAAGAATTATCTGATCCAAATGAGTTAGATTTTTAAACTTTGCAGGTTTCTGCCTTCTAATTAAAAGAATGATAGAGTGTTAGCATTCAGAAGGATCTTAGAGACTGTCTTGTCCCAATCTCATAATTTAGCAAATTGGGAGACTGAGACCCAGATCAGGTAAGTGACTTATCCAAAATTTTGTACATAGCTAGTTGGTGTCAATATTAGAACAGATTTGACTCCCAATCCTGTGATCTCATTTATTCAGAGTAATTGGAAAAGCCAGTCTGAATTAGTGAAGGATAAAATTATAGAATACTTTTTTTAAAAAGTGGTTTTAATATTTTAAACCACAACTCGAACCAGATTAACACAGGGGAGTGTTGTCTATGTGTGAACCTAACATGATTATTTGGGAGGTGTGCTTTATTCCTGGATTGTGGCCATGACAGAGAACCTTTTAAGATTCTATCAGATTTGCTGATCCCCCTCAATCATTTTTGGTGATTCAGGTGAAAGAAACCTGCAAAGCATTATGATGTATTGAGCAGGAAACTGAAAGACTTGTGAACATGTGTGTGTTTTCATTTGATTTAAAGTTGGAACTTTAGAGGGGAAAGGAGAATATGAAGAGCGAACAGCTGACTAAGAATATTATGTTGCAGAGTGGAATTTAGCTTTCTGGACCGTGGTTCAAGATATAGAAATAGTAAGGCTTTTGGCCAGTGAGAGTGTGCATTTAAGGAGAGCTACACTATATTTGTTTGGAGACTGGCTTGATCTAAAAGAACTTTAAAATGAAAATGGAAAGAAAGGGAGAAAAGTGCTTAGAGATAATTGCTAAATCAAACACCATGGAGAGCAAGAGATGTGACAGAAAAGAAAAATTAACAACAGATTTTCAGCAGTTTACAGGAGAAAAATGGGAATAGGGGAAAAAGTAATATTAATGGTTCCCAAATGTGTCTACACCAGTAGAGAGTACAAGTAATAAAATGGATTCAAGGAAATATCTAGCACCTATATAGAAGGCACTGTAGGAAAGGCACAACAAGAAAGAAGGTAAATATGACTTTATATCACTGAATGTGAATGGGATTCAGTTTATAACTGGGATACAGCAAGGTAAGGATATGCCTTAATCAAAAAAATATATCAGAAAGAGTGAAAGAATAGCACTTCTGTCAAGAATAAACACAGCGAAAATAAATAAACTTGAAGGGTATGGACATCATGGTGGAAAGTATTTAGGTAAGGATAAAAAGATGGAGAAACAGGTGATATTGTAGGCATGTAGTATTTTATTTTATTTTTTATTTTTAGGCAATTGGGGTTAAGTGACTTGCCCAGGGTCACACAACTAGTAAGTGTTAAGTGTCTGGTCTGAGGCTGGATTTGAACTCGGAGCCTCCTGACTTCAGGGCCAATGCTCTATCTACTGTGCCACCTAGCTGCTCCTCGTAGGTATGTAGTATAGATTGCCTATCCAGATGGATGAAGGGGATGGCAAAATCATGACAGAGATCACCATCTTCACCTAGCACCACAAACAGTTGTGATGAGGGACTTTAAACATCAGAACATCTGTTGTAGTACTCTCTCTCTGCTAAAAACGGAGCAGCTAATAAATTATCAATTAAATTTGTCAATTACTTTATCCTTTAAAAGGTAGAGGAAATAATAAAGGAAATTGCTATTCTGTTTTGTTTTTTTTTTTTGGCTAGGCAATGGGGTTAAGTGACTTGCCCAGGGTCACATAGCTAGTAAGTGTCAAGTGTCTGAGGCCAGATTTGAACTCAGGTCCTCCTGACTCCAGGGCTGGTGCTCTATCCACTGCATCACCTAGCTGCCCTCCCTTTTTTTTTTCAGCCAAAGACAAGATTTATTAAAACATCCATCATATTGGGCAGACTCTTAAGGAGTCTGAATATGGGTAAGCAGTGGCTAGGTTATAAGAATCTAGGCAATGGCTAGATTATAAGAATCTAAGCCCTCATTTCTCTTTTTAACATGGTAAGCAGACTATAATAACAAATGAAGTGCTGTACCTATTACATACTTGCAATTCAGCAAAGCCTTTGACAGTCTTTCAGGCTATCCCTATAGACAAGATGGGGAAATATAGGCTAGATGACAGTACAATTAGGTGAATTTTAAACTGATTGAACCCTGTTAGATCCAAAGAGTAACTCATAAATGAGTTGATGTCAGCTTGGATGGATTCTTCTAGTGTAGTGCCCTAGGGCACAATGATGCCATAGCCTGTCTCTAATTGGAGAAGCCTGGCTGGTCAAACCACCTCCTTCCTCCTCCCTAGGCCTCCAGACTGGTTCTGAAGGTGGCTGGAGAGGAGGGGCTAGAGCAAAACATTTCCCTCTCTCTTGGCTTCTAGACTTGCCTTTGGCCACAATAGGGCCAGTCCTTTCTCATGGCCATTTGCTGATCTGGAGCCACTACTGGGCTCTGCTGCTAGCTGGAGTGGCAGATGGAACAAACCAATGCCTACCTTTTTGCTAGACCTCAAATTAGGCACAACAAGGCTTGTAGCTAGGCATACCTTGGACAAACCAGCTCTGATACTTCAAGAGCTACAACACTGCCAAACCAATTGACAGCAGCACCAGATTGGCACAAAACAACAACCTCGAACCTTCTAATCACCTATTTCCTCAGACCTCATTTCTCGATGGTTGGCATACTCTTTCCCCTTCTGGTGATATTGAGCCAGCTTTCACAAATCTAGCTGTCTACTCTCTAGTTCCCATCTTCCTCAAACCTACCCTGCAATTTCCCATTCCAATTATGTACACACCCCTTATACTGGAATACCTGCTCCATAATTAATTCCTTTCACCTTAAACATCCTCCTTTTGCCACCCATCTTCTGGTACTCACTGAGATCTGATGTCCTCTTGACAATGTCAATAGCATTCCTCCCCATCCTTTCTAGTGCTGGTAGAACTTTTATTCATTCCCCAACTTGCTGGTTGTTGGTGTTGACTGCTGGTTGTTGACCCATTGGTACTATTGCCACTTCCAGACTTTACCTCTGCTGTCATCATTCAGCAGCTTTGCCTCCTTTGAAGTTCATTCAATCCAAATTTATCACTCAGTCCAAATTCTGGTAGTATTATATACCAAGCCCTGAGTTTGGTGCTTGAAGTACAGTCTTTCTTCTTTCTCAGGTCCCCCTCTCATTCTAAGGGGCTTCAGTATACATATTGATGTTCTTAAATATCCTACCTTCTCAGTTCCTGTGATTTAATAAGGAGATGGTCATACCCTTGATCTTGCCTAACATTATCCGCAAGTGTTCCCCTTCCATGTTCAAGAATTCTTTATTTCCTTTATCTGAT